AGCCTCTATCGTCGCGCCCCACGGGGCTACCAGTTACGATTGTCTTGACCGTCTCCAGGGTATCACTACCCTCCAGCTCTGCTCCAGCGCTTTTTTTGACCAAGAGGAAGTAGCACGCCACTGCCGCTGTGGACCCGTTAACGGTACTCATTTATGGCAAGGACCAAGATCCACTGAGGGGATTGTACAATTTGTTTTTACTCACGCGAACAGCTCACGCAAGGTGGAGTGGGGAGCGGCGGGTGAGAAGGGTTACTGGAACGAATCGGTGTTAGGTCTAGCCCAGATGTGAAGACCAAGAACCAAAAAGCCTTTCCCGTTCTCAAATAAGAAAATAGGGGGTTCCAGGCGGCGGCACAACAACAGCCATCTGGACGCTTTAACCCGTCAATTTTTGAAAGAGTACTGTGGTAGAGATTCCAACTGGTCGAGACTTTTTTACAATTCCGATGTGAGTGCTTGTTTAGATGAGCTGCATGTCAAAACCGTGACAGTCCTGGGTTTCCTAAAAGAGATGCACATAATCTCCAGCAACCAAGTGGCGCACTTATGAGAAAACCGTCATCACGCATCGTTGCTTATTCCTTCTTAGACTGATCGTTTGCTAAAAACCTTACCTTGGGTGAACGAATACAGCAGCGAAGCAAGCAACAAGGTCGCATAAAGCGACGTTCAGAATAAGCGTGGAATAGACGGCAATCTGTTGCGGTGTTCTCATCAAAACAAGATAAATCAGAAGACTGTTCGCGAGAATGCCAAGAATGTTCAAAATAAGATGTATGGAAAAACTTCCCAACCAGATCCAATCCATCATTGTCTGGAATAAAAATGAGGTTAACGTGAGGTTAACGAGAATTTGGCGAGTCTTTGCACCTTAGACATACTGTTAAGACGTTGACGACAATCGTTTGGTGGGAATGCGCCGCGTGGGACGGCGGCACTCTTACGCATGCGTCCGCTATAATCCACCGGTGGCTCATATTGTCCTTCGTGGTCCACTTTTTTGCCGTTCCGTCAAAATTAGCAGAATGACAAGGCAATTTCGCACGGAGCGTTATTACCATCTGCACACTCTCCGCCTCCCTCGATCACGCCCACTTTTCGGTGCGATCGTGTCTTTTTCAGTTTCATACTGTTACTTCTGCGGCTTTTTGCTTTTTTGGCGCTATTTAGAGGTCTGCTAAGGCCGAGCTCAGTAGGGTGTGATTTCTTTTCCCACGCTCAGCCTTGGCAGGCGCGGACAACCAGGTGCTTTAGGTAAGCTGGCGCCTAAACTGAATGCTTTATATCTTATCATATGCTCAGTGCGCACGTTTACATCGCGAAAAAAGTTGCGGCGCCTAGCGCCGGAAGGCCGCCTATGGGCGCTATGTGGCGCCGACGACAAATACGGTGTAATATGCGGGATCAGAGCCCTGAGCAGTGCACACAGTCAAGGAGTCATCCGAAAAGGATTATTTTGGAGTTTCTGGCATAGCAACGGTCAGTTGGAGAATTCCAGTTTTCAATGTAAAATGTTTAATGAAAACGGCAATATTCTTCTCGCTCATTCCTGTTGGAAGTACATCTCTTACTATTCATTGGGATTTAAGGAAGAAATTGTTGGAACGGACGGCAGTAACCCAGAAAAAAAATCATAATCTCGTCAACGTGTCAATCTAGCGCTTATTTCGAGCTCGGAATAGATACGATCATTCACTGTTTTTGTTCGGTGGTGTTAAAGGCACAGAAAAGAATTCAGTAGACTTGGTTTTGAATAGGAGTGTTGAAGCTACATGGAAAAAAACAAAAGGAATTAAGTTGATGAGCCCTTTCCGCTTTGGGTTTTATTTCGCACTGCATGAATACGACAAACAGGATTATGTCCCACGAGGAGGAAACCGATATTGACGGAACAAAACAGTAAGGCGAGCAATAAGACAGCAACGATCAATGTACCCAAACGACCAGGGCACATGACTGGATGGGGATTTCAGTCGAGTTGTTCG